ATAGGTTAGTCCACAGACTATTCCATAGTCTACCCATAGACCAGTCAAAGATCTAGTCAAGAGACTAGTAAATGGATGTGTACATGGACTTGTCAATAATCTTCTCCATACAATAATCAGTAAACTAGTCCACAGTCAATACTAGTCAATAGACTATTCCATAGTCAGCCCTTAGACTAGTCAGAGAACTAGTCAAGAGACTAATAAATAGACTTGTCCATAGACTGATTAATGTATGGAACAGTTTATTGACTAGTTCCATACATTAATCAGTAAACTTATCCAAAGAGTAGTAAATGGTGCATATTTTTTAGCATACAATTATTATTATTTCAAAACTTCAGTTTTCCATGTCTGGTACAAATACTATGAAGGTAATTTTATGCCCTTTTAAGCAGAAAATGTTTCTATTTTGTATTTGTTGTAGTTGATCATTGTTGTTGTTGTTTTTTATACAGTATATGTAAGTAGTTGTAATAAAAGTTCACATTAATACTAATGTAAACAGAGGAATTTTCTATTTACTAAATAGTCCACTTGAAGCATGAAATGTCAGCTGGACAAAAGCAGCAAGTTTTGTACCGTGTTTTATGTTCAGCCAAAAATGCTGCATGTGAAAAAACTATTCAAAATTTAAAATTCAAATACTTTATTACAAACTTGGAACGATCTATAGCCTACAGGATTTGAATAAATAACTATTTCTGAGATTAATACATTCGTAAGAATGTATATTTTAAAAAAAAAAGTGTTTTAAGGCAAATTTTCTCACAGTGCACACACATACTTGTAAACGCTACAGAATTCATAAATATATGAAGTACTACTGTACATTGTTATATATAAGGAATATACATTTTATGTACATATGTATGAAAGTATAAAGATCTGTTTAGGAATATTTTGCCTTTCAATGGATTCCCTTGTAAGGGATTTGCATCGAAACCAATACAAATCCTTAGATGGACAAAATGTTTATGTAAATGTATTCTCTCAAATCCAAACACAATAATTTCTACAGTTTATGGTTTATTCTAGTAGATTAATAAAGTTGTTGTAAAAATCTTTTTTCATCTACTGCCTCAACATTTTCATCAACTTTCTTTTAGCTTTCTATTGTTTTACAGCATAAATGGCGAAATTTAAGAAAAGTAGATGTAATAGAAAATATGCTTAATGGTTTAAGGACCATATTGATTGCATTTCTCTTTATTCCGGTAAAGTATCTATAGTTGGTTTTGCTAAGTATATGTAAGAAGAATAAAAGAAACCAAAGAAGATTTAGTGGTCTTTATGAGCTATTTTATGAGGAAAATAATTATTTGAGAATGATTAGAGACATTGTGGGACGAAATATAGTTATTGGAAGTTGAAGTAGTACAAGTAAGAGATTAAATATTAATGCCTAATAATTTTAATTAAACCAAAACTGAATTTAATTTAGACATTTAAATAAGAGTTAAATTGCAACGATGACAAAATGTTGAAGGATTTTTAAGGGAAGGTAATAGCTTAAGTAATGGCTTATGTAAAATTAAGCAACCACAGCGAGAAGGGACAAGAACGAACGAAGAAAACGAACGAACGAACGAACGAACGAACGAACGAAAACGAACGAACGAACGAACGAACGACGAACGAACGAACGAACGAACGAACGAACGAACGAACGAACGAAACGAACGAACGAACGAACGAACGAACGAACGAAGAACGAACGAACGAAGAACGAACGAACGAACGAACGAAACGAACGAACGAACAACGAACGAACGAACGAACGAACGAACGAACGAAAGACGAACGAACGAACGAACGAACGAAAGAACGAACGAACGAAACGAACGAACGAACGAACGAACGAACGAACGAACGAAAACGAACGAACGAACGAACGAACAAACGAACGAACGAACTAACGAACGAACGAACAAAAACGAACGAACGAACGAACGAAACGAAGAACGAACGAACGAAGAACGAACGAACGAACGAACGAACGAACGAACGAACGAACGAACGAACGAACGAACGAACGAACGAACGAACGAACGAACGAACGAAACGAACGAACGAACGAACGAACGAACGAACGAACGAAACGAACGAACGAACGAACGAACGAACGAAACGAAGAAACGAACGAACGAACGAAGAACGAACAACGAAACGAACGAACGAACGAACGAACGAACGAACGAACGAACGAACGAACGAACGAACGAACGAACGAACGAACGAACGAACGAAAACGAACGAACGAACGAACGAACGAACGAAACGAACGAACGAACGAACGAACGAAGAACGAACGAACGAAACGAACGAACGAACGAACGAACGAACGAACGAACGAACGAACGAACGAACGAAACGAACGAACGAACGAACGAACGAACGAACGAACAACGAACGAACGAACGAACGAACGAACGAACGAAACGAACGAACGAACGAACGAACGAACGAACGAACGAACGAACGAACGAACGAACGAACGAACGAACGAACGAACGAAAAAGAACGAACGAACGAACGAACGAACGAACGAACGAACGAACGAACGAACGAAACGAACGAACGAAACGAACGAACGAACGAACGAACGAAACGAACGAACGAACGAACGAACGAACGAACGAACGAACGAACGAACGAACGAACGCGAACGAAAACGAACAACGAACGAACGAACGAACGAACGAACGAACGAACGAAAACGAAAGAACGAACGAAGAACGAACGAACGAACGAACGAACGAACGAACGAACGAAACGAACGAACGAACGAACGAACGAACGAACGAAGAACGAACGAACGAAAACGAACGAACGAACGAACGAACGAACGAAAACGAACGAACGAACGAACGAACGAACGAACGAAACGAACGAACGAAACGAACGAACGAACGAACGAACGAACGAACGAACAAACGAACGAACGAACGAACGAACGAACGAAACGAACGAACGAACGAACGAACGAACGAACGAACGAACGAACGAAAAGAACGAACGAACGAACGAACGAAAACGAACGAAAAAAACGAACGAACGAACGAACTAACAACTAACTAACTGACTAAAGAAAGAACGAACTAACTAAAGAACTAAGAACTACACGAAACGAACTACAACGAACTAACTAACTAACTAACTAACTAACTAACTAAACTAACTAACACTAACTAACTAACTAACGAAACTAACGAAAGACGCAAGAAAGAACTAACGAACGGAACGAAAACTAACTAACTAACTAACTAACTAAAACTAACTAAACGAAACTAACTAACGAACTAACTAACTAAGAACTACTAAATAACGAACTAACTAACTAACGAAGAAAACTAAGAACTAACTAACTAACGACCTAAAAACGAACGAACGAACTAACTAACTAACTAACTAATAACGAACTAAACTTAACTAACTAACTAATGAACTAAACTAACTAACTAACTAACAACTACCTAACTAACTAAAACTAACTAACTAACTAACTAACTAACTAAAACTAACTACTAATAACGAACTAACTAATAACTAAAACTAATCAAACTAACTAACTAAACTAACAACTAATAAACTACTAACAACTAACATAACCTAACTAATTAAAGGGTAATAAAACCGGTTTAATTCGGTAACCTCACATCTCCTAAACTAGAAGAAAGAAACAAAAACAGTTTAAAAGCTATTGTTGTTGATAAAAAGTACGAGAACTGGTGTCTGGACACTTTTTTAATTTCGGTCCCTTTAGGGAAATAAACTGTATTTTGGTACTTTTTTCGCACCCCATGTATATTTGAAATCAGTAAACATACAACTAATATTTTTGACTCATTCATAACCTAACGATAAAACAAATATATTATATAATACTTTTTGGATATTAAGACGTTTAAGGGGTGAAAATTGTACCTACTTTTGGTACTTTTTGCATAAAACTTTTTCGTACTATTGCGTCCTTTTACTGGTCCTTTTTGAGTTTTCTATAATAGTAGACTTAAAAACATGAAACTAAGCAAGTAGAGCCCGGAATAAATGAGAACCTATAAAAGGGGACATTTTGGTACTTTTTCGTTCTTCAAAAGGTACTTTTTAAGTTTTCAATTATATTAAACATAGAAACTCAAAACTTAGCATTAAGGGACTTATGTGAATGAAAATCTAAAATGGAGTATTTTCTAGTATGTTTTCGTTCTTTAACTGGTACTTCTTGAATTTTATATAATATTTAACATAGAAACATGAAATTATGTAAAAAATGTCTTTTGATATGTTTTCGTACTTCATACTTGTTATAATATTTTTAAAAATTTATTTTTGAAATTTTCCATAATGACGAATTGTTAATATTACAGTTTTATTGCATAAACTTTATAATTATTAATTTACAGTGCAAATTATTAAAAACTTCACTTTGTTTTTCTCCCTTAAATAAACCCTCAATCAATAATTTAATTATAAATGCACATAAATTTTGTAAGTTTAACAACAATTAATCTAATACAAATATCAGAGCTCATGTGAGTAATTATTTAATTTTAATTGTTTAATTATAAAACGCTAAAAACATGTTGAAACCTAAATAAAACATTTATACAATAAATGTACATATTTACTCATTCGTTCTATTTATTATTTCCCTTTGTTATAGTTTAAAATAAATAACTATAACAATGACGACAAAAAAGAGAGACAAATTATTAATTAATTTAAAAATATATAAAAACTTATTATAGTTTTTATCGTTTATAGGAAAATGCAACTCACCTTTAGCAGCTTTTGTTAAAAATTTAATTTATTATATTTTTTTAAAGCTTTTTAAGCTTTTGCATCAATATTTATAACAATTTATGTATAATTAATAAAATTTAAACAATTTTTTTTGTATATTTTGGTAAATAACTTTTTCGTGGTTTTTAATTCACATTAAATTTTTTCCTTAAACTTTTTTTAATTAAATTTTTTTTCTTTTGTTAAATGATGTATTTTTTTTTTTGGTTTAGCTGTGTTTATCTTTAGGGCATATTTTATAATTTCATGCTTATTTTAATTACCACTGCTAATTATAAAGAATAATTTTTTGCTTTTAAATTTATTATATTTTCATTACACTTCATTTCAATTATGAACTAAAATTTGCACTCGTTTTTGGAAATTTTGAAATAAATTTAAAATTAACAGAAATTTGAAATGATTTTACAGAATTTAAATTTTCAGCTTTAATTTCTTGTTGTTATATTTAAATTAAATTTAAACTGTTTACTTTAATTTGATTCCTTTCACTCCTTCTCTTCTTTCTTCTTTTATTATAGAAAATTTCCAAATTGCTGTTACTGTTACCGATTTCTGTTATACTTTTTTGTTGTTATTTGTTATTTTTTTCTCTCTTTCATTTTTCAACACACTTCACTGATTCTTTATGATGTTGTAGCTGTAAATTTTTTCATATTTTTTCTTATGTATTATAGTATTTGTTGCTGTTGTGAGAATTTTTTCGGTTAATAAATAAATTATGATGAGTGATTAAACAAAAAATATGAATAAAAGTAGAAAAAAAAAGAAGAAACAAACAACTACAAACATAAATTTAAATTGGAATTAACGGTTAAATGGGAATTCAACCAAAATATAAAAACAATGAGAACGAAAGAGAGATAACGCAAACAAAATACAAACATTTCTCCTTTAGCTTTAAGGCGGAAGTAAGCATAAGAGTGGGTGTATGTTTGTTTATAGTAGTCATAGTAAAGCTAGCTTAAGCGGAAAAGGATCTACTAGGAAAGGGAAGCCATAACAGGGTTGTTTGTTAAATCGGAAATGAAAATAAAGAACAGCCACAGCAATATTGTAAATATCATGACTAAAATAAATGAAAAAGAGTAATAAAGCAGCCACATGTATACATTTTTATTATAAGAGTTTTTGTTCACTAATAAATTTATTTATTTTGCTGTTAGCTTTATTGAAATTTTGTTACAAATGTTACCAAAAATATATGAAATTTTAGTTAACTCAGCAAGTAAGTTTGTTATAAGTGGCAATTATGATTTTATGTTAACTATTATGATGAATTAGCATTTCTGAAAAAGAATGAATCATATTAACAGGGCCTTATTCATAACAATTTATCACAGGTTTATAAGATTATTTTTCATACAAAATTTGTTCTATAAACCTTTGAAAATTTGTTATGAATAAGGCAGTAAGAGTAAATAAATTTTATAAATTATGAACTAGAACTGAACTAGAACTGAACTAGAACTGAACTAGAACTGAACTAGAACTGAACTAGAACTGAACTAGAACTGAACTAGAACTGAACTAGAACTGAACTAGAACTGAACTAGAACTGAACTAGACTGAACTGAACTAGAACTGAACTAGAACTGAACTAGAACTGAACTAGAACTGAACTAGAACTGAACTAGAACTGAACTAGAACTGAACTAGAACTGAACTAGAACTGAACTAGAACTGAACTAGAACTGAACTAGAACTGAACTAGAACTGAACTAGAACTGAACTAGAACTGAACTAGAACTGAACTAGAACTGAACTAGAACTGAACTAGAAACTAGAACTGAACTAGAACTGAACTAGAACTGAACTAGAGCTGAACTAGAACTGAACTAGAACTGAACTAGAACTGAACTAGAACTGAACTAGAACTGAACTAGAACTGAACTATAACTAAACTAGAACTAAACTAGAACTAAACTAGAAACTGAACTAGAACTGAACTAAACTGAACTAGAACTGAACTAGAACTGAACTAGAACTGAACTAGAACTGAACTAGAACTGAACTAGAACTGAACTAGACCTGAACTAGAACGAAGAACTGAACTAGACCTGAAACTAGAACTGAACTAGAACTGAACTAGAACTGAAACTTGAACTGAACTAGAACTGAACTTGAACTGAACTTGAAACTGAACTAGAACTGAACTTAGAACTGAACTAGAACTGAACTAGACTGAACTAGAAATGAACTAGAACTGAACTAGAACTGAACTAGAACTGAACTAGAACTGAACTAGAAACTGAACTAGAACTGAACTAGAACTGAACTAGAACTGAACTAGAACTGAACTAGAACTGAACTAGAACTGAACTAGAACTGAACTAGAAACTGAACTAGAACTGAACTAGAACTGAACTAGAACTGAACTAGAACTGAACTAGAACTGAACTAGAACTGAACTAGAACTGAACTAGAACTGAATAGAACTGAACTAGAACTGAACTAGAACTGAACTAGAACTGAACTAGAACTGAACTAGAACTGAACTAGAACTGAACTAGAACTGAACTAGAACTTACTAGAACTAGAACTAGAACTGAACTAGAACTGAACTAGAACTGAACTAGAACTGAACTAGAACTGAACTAGAACTGAACTAGAACTGAACTAGAACTGAACTAGAACTGAACTAGAACTGAACTAGAACTGAACTAGAACTGAACTAGAACTGAACTAGAACTGAACTAGAACTGAACTAGAACTGAACTAGAACTGAACTAGAACTGAACTAGAACTGAACTAGAACTGAACTAGAACTGAACTAGAACTGAACTAGAACTGAACTAGAACTGAACTAGAACTGAACTAGAACTGAACTAGAACTGAACTAGAACTGAACTAGAACTGAAACTAGAACTGAACTAGAACTGAACTAGAACTGAACTAGAACTGAACTAGAACTGAACTAGAACTGAACTAGAACTGAACTAGAACTGAACTAGAACTGAACTAGAACTGAACTAGAACTGAACTAGAACTGAACTAGAACTGAACTAGAACTGAACTAGAACTGAACTAGAACTGAACTAGAACTGAACTAGAACTGAACTAGAACTGAACTAGAACTGAACTGAATGAACTGAACTAGAACTGAACTAGAACTGAACGAGAACTGAACTAGAACTGAATTAGAACTGAACTAGAACTGAATTAGAACTAGAACTGATCTTAGTTATATAAACCAAGATATTTTAAAATGTGCTTCATATTTACACATTTGCTTACATTTACACAACTGCTTACATTTATATGACCACTTTAGCATTAGTTTAATTGACAAAAGGTGGTATGTTAAAATAATTCTGATTTACATTTTTCAAAACAAAATTTTATATCATTTATTGAGCAATAAAAGATGCTTAAATATTTAAAAAAACATACACAAGGCATACAATTGTTGCCAGCAACAACAAAACGAAATAATGAAAATAAAATTATATTTTTTTTCTATAATGACAGAAACAAAAGAATAGAGGACTGACAAAATCCTCTAAACGAAAACAATTTAAATTTTATCATTAAAAAATTTTTTGGTACAAGATAGATAAGAGAACAAGTGAAACTATTAAGAGTAAGGAACAAGATAAATTGGTTTAAAGGAAAAGAACAAAGTTTAAAAGTAAATTCAGAACAGGCTTAAACTAGTATGTTAAACAAAAATTTATTGGAACATATGAAGTTTAAAACAAACAAACTTCGAAATAGTGGCAATAAGTTACAATTTAAGATATTTTTTTCTATAAATTCAAATATTTTTATTCTTGTGTTGTGATTTTTCTTAAATGAATACTATGCTTATATTATAATGCTATTTAAATTTTCTCTCCGCTTTATGCCATTTCATTCTTTTTCCATATCAACAAAAACAAAATATAATTGAAATTATACAAAATTCTAAATAATAATATTATCACACACAAAAGATACAAGAAAAAGAAAACATCTACGAAAAATTTTGGCACATTTTGTTTTAAATATTTCAAGAAAAAAAAAAACAAATAAAATTTTTTTATAAAAACGTTTTTAAAAACAAAAGTCCACTGAACCAAAATACGGGTATTATGGCATTAATTTATGTTTTTTATTACGAACACACAATTAGTATGTGGAAACAAATTTTTTGGAAATAGAAAGATATCCCAGGAACAAGAGATGTCAATCAAAAAGTACACGAAATTATAAAAAAAAAATTCAAATAAATTGTGGATTTTCAATTTATTTGAAAAAAATTACTTTTGATTTTCTTAAACAAATGACGTTCATGTGATGTACAGCACTAGGTACATGATTGGTTCCTTGTAGATAGGTACCTAATCCAGAACTAGAACAGCACTACAGAACTTAAGCAGAACTAGAACAGAACTAGAACAGAACTAGAACAGAACTAGAACAGAACTAGAACACAACTAGAACACAACTAGAACACAACTAGAACACAACCAGAACAGAACTAGAACAGAACTAGAACAGAACTAGAACAGAACTAGAACAGAACTAAACTAGAACAGAACTAGAGCAGAACTAGAACAGAACTAGAACAGAACTAGAACATAACTAGAACAGAACTAGAACAGAACTAGAACAGAACTAGAACAGAACTAGAACAGAACTAGAACAGAACAGAACACAACTAGAACACAACTAGAACACAACTAGAACACAACTAGAACAGAACTAGAACAGAACTAGAACAGAACTAGAGCAGAACTAGAATAGAACTAGAACAGAACTAGAACAGAACTAGAACAGAACTAGAACAGAACTAGAACAGAACTAGAACTAGAACAGAACTAGAACATAACTAGAACAGAACTAGAACTAGAACTAGAACAGAACTAGAACAGAACTAGAACAGAACTAGAACAGAACTAGAAAAGAACTAGAACAGAACTAGAACAGAACTAGAACAGAACTAGAACTAGAACAGAACTAGAACAGAACTAGAACAGAACTAGAACTGAACTAGAACTGAACTAGAACTGAACTAGAACTGAACTAGAACTGAACTAGAACTGAACTAGAACTGAACTAGAACTGAACTAGAACTGAACTAGAACAGAACTAGAACAGAACTAGAACAGAACTAGAACAGAACTAGAACAGAACTAGAACAGAACTAGAACTAGAACAGAACTAGACCTAGAACAGAATTGGACTTTATACAAACGGAACTAGAACAGAATTGGACTTTATAGAAATTATTCTTTTAAGGAAATAAATTGACGAATAGTTTTAAAGATTTTTTTTTTTTAAATTATTTATCATATTTTTTTTTTTAATTCGCTTTATGCACAAATTGAATTTTGCATCGCATTTTTTTCAATTTTGTTTTTTTTTAAATTTCTGTTCACTTTCTTTTTAAGTACATATTTACTTACATTTGCAATATTCTGTTCATGATTTAAGTCGAGACAAATTACAAATTAATTGGAAGCCATTAAAGTCAATAACCTGTTTAACCCTTGCGTTTAGTAGAACTTTTGTTCAATCTGCTGTATCACATGTACAAAATGTTTAAAACATTTTCAGTTATTATCTGCAGGCAATTTAATTAAACACGTAAGTTAAACGCAAAACTTTTCAATACTTTTGTTTCATAAAAAATCCTAAAGTAGCAACAAATATGGGATAAAAGCCATATAAAGAGCAGGTAAGTAAGGGTTAAAGTTTAGAAATATAATCTCCTTTTTATTTCTCTTTTAAAGTTATATTTATGCACTCGTTATTAGTCAATGAAAGAAAAATATGTTTTAATGTTTTCTGTAGAATTATTAACTATTGTTTTAATATTTCTGTTTTAATATTTTTTTTTCTACCAAACGTATTTTACTCAAACTCAACCCTAAGAATTATTAACACATCTGTAAACATTTGTTTGAATTTATTTTTACAAATGACTGATTAAAATGACTCACTCCAGTATGCTGTTCAATCGACCATTTAAGGTAAATTCTACTGTAAATTTAAAAGCGGCAAATTATTTATTTACATTTTTAATTTTAAATAAAAATTCATTAGAAGAACTAATAATAACATTTAAAGCTAGACCAAGTAACAAATAAAATAAATAAAAAGATGTTAATTAAGCAATGTCGACTACAGCAAAGATTATAATAATATTAATAATAAGACGACAAAAAACTAACTTTGAAGATAAAAATCAAAGTATAAAAAAACGTTTAAAGTTAAGACGTCGTTTCACAAAACGCCCACCTTTTGAAACGTGGTTAAATGCGCCATATGAAATGACAACATTTACTATCATTAATAACAAAAATAAATAATAAATGAACCAAATTATAAAATAAAATAAAAAAATTAACATCAGTTGCTGCAAATGTTAATTAATAAAAAAAAATAATTTAAGTTAAAACCAAAACAACAAACAAACTTCCGCATTTTATCAACAAACTCTTTTTATTTTATTTATTTTGATTTTATTTTTGTAAAATGCAAATAAAACTACGTCATTATAAAGAATTTTTAGTTACCAAACAGTGACAAGCAAAACTGACAATATAAATGTTTATTTATGAATTATATATATTAGTAGTTGAAGTATGAATTTTATGTTCTTTTTTAAATTTTTGAAAAAAATTGTTTGGTTTAAAATATCACAAATTAATTCCTACAAATTATGGTTAATATATATTTTAAATATTTCACTGAAATATTTTTTTATTGACAGAATTCAATTAAGACGTTTTGTCGAATGTTTAAAAATGTTGACAGCTATTGAAGGTTTCTTGGCAGATCTTGAGGAAACAAAAAAAATATTGTTTATATTGAAAGACATGTGGAAAAGAAGACTTTGTACTTCAAAAAGATCTTATTCATGAAAACATATTTCAAAATAACATTTTCTGAAATATTTACAGGTAAGAAATCTTTTATAGTTAAGTTCTAGTTCAGTTCTGGTTCAGTTCTAGTTCAGTTCTAGTTCAGTTCTAGTTCAGTTCTAGTTCAGTTCTAGTTCAGTTCTAGTTCAGTTCTAGTTCAGTTCTAGTTCAGTTCTAGTTCAGTTCTAGTTCAGTTCTAGTTCAGTTCTAGTTCAGTTATAGTTCAGTTCTAGTTCAGTTCTAGTTCAGTTCTAGTTCAGTTCTAGTTCAGTTCTAGTTCAGTTCTAGTTCAGTTCTAGTTTAGTTCTAGTTCAGTTCTAGTTCAGTTCTAGTTCAGTTCTAGTTCAGTTCTAGTTCAGTTCTAGTTCAGTTCTAGTTCAGTTCTAGTTCAGTTCTAGTTCAGTTCTAGTTCAGTTCTAGTTCAGTTCTAGTTCAGTTCTAGTTCAGTTCTAGTTCAGTTCTAGTTCAGTTCTAGTTCAGTTCTAGTTCAGTTCTAGTTCAGTTCTAGTTCAGTTCTAGTTCAGTTCTAGTTCAGTTCTAGTTCAGTTCTAGTTCAGTTCTAGTTCAGTTCTAGTTCAGTTCTAGTTCAGTTCTAGTTCAGTTCTAGTTCAGTTCTAGTTCAGTTCTAGGTCAGTTCTAGTTCAGTTCTAGTTCAGTTCTAGTTCAGTTCTAGTTCAGTTCTAGTTCAGTTCTAGTTCAGTTCTAGTTCAGTTCTAGTTCAGTTCTAGTTCAGTTCTAGTTCAGTTCTAGTCTAGTTCAGTTCTAGTTCAGTTCTAGTTCAGTTCTAGTTCAGTTCTAGTTCAGTTCTAGTTCAGTTCTAGTTCAGTTCTAGTAAGTTCTACTTCAGTACTGGTTCAGTTCTAGTTCAATTCTGTTTCAGTTTTAGTTCAGTTCTAGTTCCCGGTAGTATAAAAATCACGTCTTTAGCAAATTATTGTGGAAAACCATGTTTCTTTATAAAATTAAACCCAAAATAATTAGTGACAGTGAAAATGAGTAAAAGTATGGTTTAGAAAAAATGCAGTATTGAAAAGAGTGCTTTTATTCATGATATTTTTATGATGTATGTATTGAAAATATAATAAATGTATAATTTTTGCACTTTCTTTGCGGTCAATTTTATTTTATTTTCACTTTAAAAAATTTAGTGTGTTTTATATAAATAAACTTAAATAATTTATAATTATTTATTTATCAATGACATTTATAAAATTTATGTTATAAAATTATTAAATTTAGTGGCAAAACTTTTTTTGAATAAACTTTTAACAAGTTTACGAATTTTTATTTAAATAATTTTTTGTAGAACTTATAGGCCATTTTTTAATTTTTTACATTCATTACATGATTTGCATTGTAATTAGTATAATTTAATACTGTGTATGCAAACTGCATACAACAGTTACTGTTACACAATCAACTTTTATTTTAAAATACACATTTTTTGCTACCTTTTTATATTTGCAATTTAAATTTCTTTTATTTCAATAAAATTTTTATTTAACAACAAATAAGCATTAAAGCTTAACAACATAAAAACACTTTTCCAATTAAAAATCCACTGGGACAAAAAAACTTAATTTAATAAACATTTATAAACAGGAGCTTTATTTTTATTTGAATATTTCCATTTAAATTGGTTTAATTTCAATTTCATTGAAAGAACATCAATTTTTTTTTTAATTTTTGTTTGACAAAATAATTTGTTTTTAATTAACACATTTTTTATGATGTTTTCATTATATTTCGTTTAATTTTCATTAATAATTTAGTGTGCCTGAGCACGCTTTTTACTTAATTTTTTAAGATGCTAATAGATATTTTTTTATTATTTATTTACTGTTATTATTAAAAATAATAACAGAATATTTCTCTAACACCAACTCACTTTCTCTAATACACTCTCATCAAATACACATACAATTATACACGTTTCGAATAGAAATTGTTGCCAAAAAACGAAAAGAAAAACACAAAATACTACACGGGTCGGACGCTCGATTTCTGTATATATTTTCTCAGATTTATTTTTTGTAGAGGGTGCTTTTGCCTAGACGACGTTTAGTTTGCAACTAAATTTCCGCATGTTATTCACCTGCAAGAACTTAATAACGAACAATAATATGAACGAAGCAACTCATACATGTCCACAAATTTGATGCGAACTTACAACCTTCTCTGTGTATGAGAAAAGAAACTGAAAGTTTCGTTATGAGGTTTACATTTTTTGTTGGTTGTTGAAATGTATGGAAAGAAATTGAAATGATGGTTGAGAAAAATTGAAAATGCAGTTGAAGTTCTTCTTTCTTGTTCAGTTCTAGTTCAGTTCTAGTTCAGTTCTAGTTCAGTTCTAGTTCAGTTCTAGTTCAGTTCTAGTTCAGTTCTAGTTCAGTTCTAGTTCAGTTCTAGTTCAGTTCTAGTTCAGTTCTAGTTCAGTTCTAGTTCAGTTCTAGTTCAGTTCTAGTTCAGTTCTAGTTCAGTTCTAGTTCAGTTCTAGTTCAGTTCTAGTTCAGTTCTAGTTCAGTTCTAGTTCAGTTCTAGTTCAGTTCTAGTTCAGTTCTAGTTCAGTTCTAGTTCAGTTCTAGTTCAGTTCTAGTTCAGTTCTAGTTCAGTTCTAGTTCAGTTCTAGTTCAGTTCTAGTTCAGTTCTAGTTCAGTTCTAGTTCAGTTCTAGTTCAGTTCTAGTTCAGGTCTAGTTCAGTTCTAGTTTAGTTCTACTTCTGTTTTAGTTCAGTTCTAGTTCAGTTCTTCTTTGTACTTTTAAAATTGACCTATATAATAATATGATAAAATTAAAATTGGATTAATTAAGAATTGCAACTATACGAGCTGGCACTGTTGCCAATTTAGCTATTTTCTCGTCAAATCTAGCGATTTTTAATCCCATTTTGCGGGGAAAAATATGATTTAGCTATTAGCGGGAAATCTAGCGATTTTTCTTTAGATTTTAAGGCATTTTTTATTCATTTATATTTTATAATATCGCTTAAAAGTTGCTACGAATGACGATTTACATATATGTATGTATATAAAAATATGCATTCAATGTAAATTATTTCAGTTTTAGCTGTGTGTATTATACTTATTTTGAATGTTCTGAAGAACATAATTAGGAGCAAATATTTGTGCGTACAGGTAAAGTTATACGAAAAACTTTAAAAGGGGTATATTTTGTTGTACTCAAAAAACGAATATTTAATTATTCTAGTCTTTTAGTAAATGAGTGATATGATAATAAAATTTACCATAATTCTAAAAATTAGTGAACATTGGAAATAAGTGACGAAAGGATCGATCCATAAAGTCCTAAAAATTTACAACATTTCTAAGGCGTATAGGGCCGCATATCGATATTGCAGATAAAATTCCCACAAAAGGAGTGTATAATAATAATCTTGGGTGCCCCGGTAGGCTAGTTGGTAGTGTGCTAGCCTGTCAGTCTGAGGGTTGTGGGTTCGATTCCCAGCAGAGATCCTGGTCTGCTACACTACAACGGTCGTATGGTTATCGTCACCCTGCTCGGTAAATTAGGTAAGAATATAATTTGTAATTGTATTGTAATGGAATAATAAATAATACTCTCGATCCATAAAGGCCAGCATTTCGAAATTCAATTTATCTTTACAACATTTCTAAAGCAATCTGTATAGGGTCGCATATCGAAATTAACCTCAACTTGACATTTTTCCTAACCCAAAGTGAAAATATTTAACATAAAAAAGGTTCTCTTATGTGTTTGTTATAAGATGTGTTTGTATCACTATCCCTTTCCTACGTATGTATATAGATTTTAGCGATAAATCGCTGACTTTTTAGAATAATATAAAAATCTGAAAAATTTAGCTAGTTTTTTTAGCTATTTGTTTTCAGAATCATATAATAAATATTATTTTGACGATTTATCGCTAAATTTTTCAAAATGTCTTGAATTTAGCTATTTTCTAGCTATTTTTCAGTCGACTTTAGCGATATTTTTGGGAAAAAAGTTGGCAACAGTGCGAGCTGGCGTGTTTAGCCCCAAACCTTAAAAACACTTATGCTAACTTTAGCCACCCAACCAAGGCACTTTAATCTTAAGAACAGAATCAAGTAGGTAATCTACTTGCAACATGTACATATAAAACCAAAAAAGCTTTTTCTATGCGACAAGTTTGAAGACAACAAAGAGTATGATGGTTTGAGTAGTACCGGGTCAGCAGGGCTCACATGCAAAAAATTTGGACAGACAGACAGGCAGCCAGTCGGTCGTTCAAAAATATAAAAACGAAACAAGAATAAGAAAAATCAACAATGTAAACAACAACAAAAACAAACAGACACCCACAGTTTTGTTATTTTTTTTCCCTTAACTTTGTTATAGGCCATGTTCATGATAATGGGGAAAATTTAACAGCAGCACATGGCTTAGAAAAAGAAGAAGGAATAAAAAACATAAAATAACAAAAAGCTTTTTTAATATTCTTTATGTCCAAGTTCACAATGCAACAATTAAAGGCATGGGCTAAATGCAACACGTTTGTAAAAAAACATTCAATAGTTTTTGAATATATATATTTTTTGTTTTTGTAAAAAGAAATCATTTTTAATTCAATATTTATTTTAATAAACAAAAAGTTTTTTTTACAAAACTAAAAATGAGGGTCTTAGCAAAATGCAGGTTATGTTTTGTTTATTTAAAGTCACCTACAACTTCAGCTGTGTAACCACTGCGCAGACTCTAATGTGCGGGTACTTTATTTTGTTCCAATTTTGTTTTTGTAAACAAATGTTTTGTAATCGCCAACAAAAATTAATGGAAAGAAGCATTAAAACACAGAGTTGAAATTAATGGGAGTTAAACAAAAGTAGGAAACATTTTATTTTATGTGTGTGGAAAACTTTTCAGTTATAATAGTTATTTAACTGAGATGATGAAGAGTGTGTAGCTGAAATATACCAACATACATATCTCAACAACAGCAGTCTTAAAAAGTTTAAATAATTATTAGGTTTAAAATAGAGTTGTAATTAAAGGGGAGCATTGACAAGCAAGAGGGCAATATTCGAATATACAGGATTTTATTTTCCTACTATCAATAAAGCAAGTGTAATCGACCAGGTTGGGAAGAAGCCTATGGAAACCTTTATCATTAAGAGACCAAACTCCCAAATTTTATAAAATGATCTACTTTCAAGTCAGTTTCAGTTCAGAATCAGATCAGTTCTAGTTTAGTTCTAGTTCAGTTCTAGTTAAGTTCTTGTTCAGTTCTAGTTAAGTTCTAGTTCAGTTCCAGTTCAGTTCTAGTTCAGTTCTAGTTCAGTTCTAGTTCAGTTCTAGTTCAGTTCTAGTTAAGTTCCAGTTAAGTTCTAGTTAAGTTCTAGTTCAGTTCTATTTCAGTTCTAGTTCAGTTCTAGTTAAGTCCAAGTTCAGTTCTAGTTCAACCCTAGTTTAGTTCTAGTTCAGTTCTAGTTAAGTCCTAGTTCAATTCCAGTTTACTTCTAGTTCAGTTCTAGTTCTGTTCTAGTTCAGTTCTAGTTCTAGTTCAGTTCTAGTTCAGTTCTAGTTCAGTTCTAGTTCAGTTCTAGTTCAGTTTCTAGTTCAGTTCTAGTTCAGTTCTAGGTCAGTTCTAGTTCAGTTCTAGTTCAGTTCTAGTTCAGTTCTAGTTCAGTTCTAGTTCAGTTCTAGTTCAGTTCTAGTTCAGTTCTAGTTCAGTTCTAGTTCAGTTCTAGTTCAGTTCTAGTTCAGTTCTAGTTCAGTTCTAGTTCAGTTCTAGTTCAGTTCTAGTTCAGTTCTAGTTCAGTCTAGTTCAGTTCTAGTTCAGTACTAGTTAATTTTTAGTTAAGTTTCTGAACCAAGTATAGGTTAGGCTGAAGTCTGAGTGGCGCTAGAAGCGATGCGAAGCTTTGTGCTCCAAACTTTTGCATGTGTTTTCTCGCATCAAGCTTCACTTTCACTCTGACATGACACATAGGAAAACACAAGGAAAGGTTGCTTGTAGCGCCCACTCTGTAGTCAGCCTTAGTGTTTTAAGATAATAAATATTTTTGTATTATTTGTATTTTGTATTTTAGAAGTAAGTACACTTTCTAAAATATTGGATCATTTTATGACATAAAATGTAGAATATTTATTAATGTAATTCGAGTTCTTGTAAAACTATTTCCGTATTCATGTTTCCTACAAATTTATTTTAATTTTTAAAATTTGTGATATTTACGTAGTCAAAAAGTGTCGTAACGTTCACCAGTATTGCTTGAACATGTGTAACGTATTAAGACAACTGACAATTTATTTAATTTTTTTGGTTGTCTGAAATAAATGAATAAGTGTTTAAACCACAAAAATAATACCTAACAGATTTTTTTGGCACATAATTTTCTATAAAATAAATATAAACATACACAGGGATACTTAAATTTAAAGATATCTGACAAAAAATATATTGAGATATTAAAAAATTATAACCCAGGCAAAGAAATTAAGGTATTAAGTATTGGACTAGTAAAAAACGACAGCTTTCCTTCTTTAACCATAAAGAACTGGGTTATTCACTCTTATCCACTTGAAGGTAAGCTTTTTGTGTGATTTTTCTGTTTTTTTTTTTAGGTTCACAGATATTTACACGCCAGAAACATACTTAAGTATTATTTATTTTATTTATTAATATATTTGTCTTAAATCTAGACAAATCGTGTGTGGTTTGTGTTGTTTTTTATTTTTGTGTAAAATACCAAAAATAAATTCACTTACTCATCTTTTACTACAAAAAAAAAAAAAAAAAACAAAAAGAATTTCCCCCCAAATAGCAACCAAAATGTGGGATGACACATTTTTGGTAATTGTCTACAAATAATACCGGGACATATGTTTTTGAATTAAATTAAACAACTAAAAATAAATATAGAAAACTAATTGTTTAAGGAATTTCAAGGCATACGTGTTTTTCACTAATCGGAATAATTTTTTCGATTGAAGTAATTTCACCTTAAATTTAATATTCGATAAAAATTAAACATTTATCGATAAATTTAAGTTTCAATAAATAAACATTAAATCTATGCAGAGATGAAAATATTTCAGATTCCAAAGTTTGCACCGAGAAAGAT